CTCTGCTATATTTGCAAGGTACCACCATCCCTCTATGGCACCTATCCCTATAACATAACTCTCATAGCTCTGAAGGATAGCTGTGTGCAAGGTCTGAGCAGTGATTGGATGAGGCTCAAGGATGAAAAGCTTCTCCTTAACAGGTCAAAGTTTCTGGATAGTGAAGAGGAAAGCAAGGCTGTTTTGCACAACGAAATCTCAGAAATTAGTAATAAATTTCCTAAGATTGAATGTAAAATCCCATGTACTTAAAACTGTGACTATAATTATATGGGATTGTTTAAACAGACGAAAGGCCTCACTTTATTTGTAAGATATCTGTTTCATTGTTGGATGTTATCACAGAAAACATTGTGCAGAAAGGTGACAATGTTTGACCATTCTTGGTACAGATTGCTGATGTCACAGTTCAATCAGCTTATTATGATGAACCAGGTGCAGAAGTCAGCCAGTCATAGAGATGTACAACATAGAAACAAACCCTTCGGTCCAACTTGTCCAAGCTGACCAGATATGCTAGATAAATCTAGTCTCATTTGCAAGCATTTGGCCCATATTCCTCTAAACCCTTCCTAGTCATACACCCATTTTAAATGTCATAATTGTACCAGCCTCCACTACTTCCTCTGGCAGCTCAGTCCATATATGCACCATCCTCTGTGAAAAGGTTGCCTCTTAGAACCCTTTTAAATCTTTCCCCTCTCACCTTAAACCTATGTCCTTTCAGCTTGCTCCACATTCAATAAGACCATTAGCTAATCTGATCGTAACCTCAAAAACACATTCCTGCTTCCCTGATAACCTTTCACCCCCTCAGTTAAGAAGAATCTATGTACCTCTGCCGTAAAAATATCGACGGACTTAGTTTCCATTACCTTTTCAGGAAGAGAGTTCCAAAGAATCACGATCATCAGTAAGGAAACATTCACCTCATCCGAGTTTTAAATGGGCGATCAATAAGTTTTAAACAGTGATCCCCCTAGTTTGAGGTTCTACCGTAAGAGGAAGCATCTACCTTTTCAAGACCACTCAGGATTCACAGCAAATCGCACTATTAATCTAGTAAACCTTCTCTGAATTGCTTTCAACGTATAAATATCCTTCATTAAATAAGGTGGCCAATATTATGCACAGTACTTTAGATGTGCTCTCACTAGTGCCCCTGTATAACTGAAGCATAAACCTCCCCTACTTCTGCGTTCAGTTCTCATTATAAATTATATTTTATTTATTAGCTTTTCTAATTGCTTGCTGCGCCTGCACAGTAACCCTTTGTGCTTCATGCAGAAGGACACCCAAATCTCTCTGCATCATAGAACAGCACAATACCTGACCAGTTAGATAATATGCTTTCTATTTTCCTGCCAAAATACCCTTCATATTGTGTTATAATGTACCTAACTGGCTTGAGATCCAGCGTGCAGACCTGAAATTAAATTGGCTGTGACATGCAAAATCCTGGCACCATCACCAATTGCTCCACATCATAACTGTGTTTCCCCGTGCAATAGCCATACTGGGTTTAAGGGGAGGACAAAGAACAAGAACAAGCAGACAGCTCTTTCAGAGTTGACCATGGCACGATGGACTGATTAGCTTTCTCCTGAGCTGTAGCAGTTTCAAAATTCAGACATTCTCAATCTTACTTCAGATTTTTCACCTCCATTTGATTTTAATTTTACAGTGAAATTAAGATAGAGTGCTGAAAACAAAAAAAAGCTGGAGATCACAGAGGTTCAGGCAGCAGCCATGGAGAGAAAGCAAGCCAATGCTTCAAGACTAGACGATTCTTCATCAGTCATCTAGCCTCGAAACGTTAGCTTGCCTTCTCTCCATGGATGCTGCCTGACCTGCTGTGGTCTCCAGCATTTTTCGTTTTCAGTACAGATTCCAGCATCTGCAGTAATTTGCTCCTATAAGACTGCTGAAGGTGGGTAGGAAATCCAAATCTACATTTGTCATAGCTACCCCTGCAATGGCCACTAGGGGGTATTTCAGAGTTGTTCACAGCAAGCTGCTCACCAATAAATCAGTTTAGGGTTGGCAAGGTCATGAGATTTCAGACTGTCCAGTGTGGATGTATCATATAAACACAGTAAAAACACAGTACCTTAAAACTGGAGCACTGCCTTTTCGTTGTATCTATTGTGTTAATTGTAGATATTGCTTTGCACAAATAAAGAATGCTTTCTACGGTGGCTGCATTTCCTCTGGGTATATAACAGAGGATTTGGAACAGGAGATCCTTGGGACTTTGATAATCTTTAATGGAGAAGCCAGAAGGCTTGGAGGAGATACAAGTTCAGATGAGAATATAAAGTTTTGTGCATAGGGATTCACAGCTTTCAATTAGCACATGGTTACTCTATATTTTTTATACAATTCATGCAGACAAATTTCAAAGAAAAAATGGAGACAAGTTTCTCTACTCTACAATCCATTGTCTCGATGAATTACAACAGGCAGCATCTGCAGCCCAGATGGAACCTGCTCGCAAGTTTCTGCCTACACTTAGCTTCCAGGAAGTGCAGAAGGAGCCACAGTTCTATGTTCCCTTTTTGAGGAGGATGCCTGGGTTTCTGTTCTCAAGTGCTGCTATGACGCCCTATTGCAAATTCATACGTAGCAATGCAAGGATTGGCTAAGATTCAGCTCTGTAGTTTCACACAAATATTCAATACCAGTCACTGTCTTGGCTCACACGGATAGTGGCCCAAAACCTACATCTGGCCACTTCGTAGACTATACTCTCACATCTTGAGCGAGAACATAGTGACAAAACAAAGAATGAAAAGAATCAAACAACCTGATGCTGGATAAATGATTCTTGCTGTCACTTTTTGGGATTATTTACATAGTCATACAACACAGAAACAGATCCTTCGGTTCAACCGGTCCATGTCGAACATAATCCCAAACTAATCTAGTCCCACCTGCCTGCTCCTGGCCCATATCCCTTGAAACCTTTCCTATTCATGTACTTATCTAAATATCTTTTAAACAATCTAATTGTAAATGCTTTGTCCTCTTTAAAATCTCGATGAAATCCTAAATTAAAAAGTGTATGTATCTGGATTATAATTCGAATTGTTATGTAATTATTTCTCACAATTGAAATGATAGCCCACTTAAGTCAATTTTCTTGGAAACATATCCAGTGAAGGAGATATTTGCTCATCTTTATCTACTTGAATATCTGCAACTTCTGCCAACACAGTAGAATTTTACTGGGTGCACGTAAGATTTAAATAGACAAGAATAAAAGTTGGCAAGTATACTCAAGTATCTTTTAAACACTCAAAACCCTGATAACATTAGCTTCTTCTTGCTGATGGGTCCTGTAATGTTATACGTCCAATGTAGACCCCAGAAATCCAGTTCCACAAAAAGAAAACTCATTATATTGCTGAACATATGCCAGTGGAAGCAATTTTAAAACATGAGGATCTCTTTCTAAGTTCATGTTATTTATATATGGCTGCAATGCTGATGACACTGGCAGCAATGTTGGAGCAGTGCTCATGCAGGAACAGTGTGTGGTACAGCTGTTCAACAGCCAGGAATATAGTGTTCCAATTCCTGGTTGGCCCACTCCTGTTCTTTTACTTTGCCCCTGAGGACAGGAATGAAGCCACCTGCTGAGGTGGAGCTCTGTGTCTCTGGAGTCATAGGTGGCGTCTTATTCACAGCACAGGGCTGTTTCTAGAAGCTGTTTATTTAAATAAGATAGGAAAAGCACAATTGCCCAACATGAATCAGTAAACTTACACATGTTCAGATTTAATACAGCTGGGGTTTCATTTTGCAGTAGACAGTAGGGCAGCGAGCAGTGTAAATGAGCTGACCTAAAGGTATTCCAGCTGATACCTTGGGAATTCAGAAGAGCAGCTGGATCAAGCCATTATAAAACAAGCATAACGAGGCAAATAAAAGGCATAAAGGCAATTTGATAACAGACATCCCATCTCTGTCCTGAGAGTGAGTTACATCAAAAACATGGATGCATACTTCTACAGAATCTTTTGCAAATGTTTCAACAGCCTATTAGATTACAGAATCACCTTCAATTGAAGCAGATCTGTATTACACAACAATTGCCCCATGTTATAGATCTACCCCTCTTTGAAGCAAAGTGAAAGTCAGGATGGAGTGACTGGGAACAGAACGGGATACACATCCTCCTTGAAAATATCAAACAAGTCCTGGAACTTGAACGATGTAAAACTTGTCAGGCTTACGATGAACTCCTAAGAAATTATTAGTTCAACCAATGGATGGAACATAAATCATACCAGACAGATCATTATTCAGCCTCTATTTTTGCGAAAAAGGATCCCCTTCAGCTGTATGCTCTATTTCAGCAAGATCTGTTTTTTTTTGTGTGGGGGGCAGGGAGCAGAAATGATGACCCAAAGAAAATTACAAAACAAAAATCATCAGATTTCCACTCAAGACTGAACAGTACATAGAGGATTATGGGGGAGTACAAGGTTGGGCTTAATTCTGATGCTTTCCACAGTCAAATAGCTTGCCAAGACTCATTATCAAGACACATATGTTAAGAATGATCACTTGGGCACAGAAACAGATGGCTACAGGCACCCTGGGAATTAGGCTGCAATAACAGCAGCACCTTCAGGACAGCAGTGAGATTGTAACTAAAACGTTAAAACCCAAGGTTAGAAATACCTTGAATGTACTCTTGCTAGTATTGCTGAAAAAAATCATTAAATAACACATGCTAACAGGCTGGAAATGAAAAGGGACCACGTTCTTAGTTACAAAGCAATCTTTTTCAGTTTTCATTAAAAAAGTGAACAATGGCAATGCCAAAAGGACATGGCTTTAACTTTAATATTTAGCACAGGCAACTTTACTGCTACATCTCATGCATGTGATAACTGATAGAAGAGTACTGTCACTGGCTACAAAGTAGAAAGTATTCCATTCAGCAGCATTGTCATCCTTCATCTTGACAAGATCAGATCAAGAATGAAGAATTAAATTAAAATAAGACTGCACACACTGTCATTTTCGTTTACCTGACTGAGCAGCTGCCCATGAAAGATGGTGTTCACCACCTTGAGAACCTGCTTGGTGAGCTTCCTTTGAGAGAAAGGAATAAGGATCCTGTGCTTTGTGCCTTCCGATTCCAGCTCCTGCTGCACTTTGTCCAGTAATTCACAAAGAAATTCCTGAGCGTCTTGCTGACCATATCCCCTAAATGCTGGGATGAGGCTCCATACAGAGTGCAACATAGCAAACGGGGATACCAAAGCCCATTTCCCAGACCACATTACTCGAAAGAGTGTGTGAAGTTCATGGCAAAGAGAGATGTGCTTCGAACTAGGCTCCTTGGGTTGAATAAGTTCCAGGTTCCTGGCCATAGAGGCACCTCCGTTCAAACCTGCTGGCATACTGTATCTCCCTGAAGTTCCCACATGATCATTTCTTCCTGCTATGCACGATGCAGGACTAATCCCCAGTGTGACCTTGTTGGACAATCGCGTTTTGCCATTTGTGGTCCTTGCTAATAGTTCTTCAGTCTCACAGAGATCAAGGGTTAAGAAACACTCTCTGAACTTTTGCAAGTGACTGAGTACTTGCAGGATGGAGTTCATGTAGCAGGTATTACCAAGGTTTCTTAGACCCGTAACACCAGGAGTTACCACTGGTTTACGCTTGGTAGCATAATACCGCTTAATTTTGTTCCTTTGTCGTTTTGAGGTAGGGGCAGTTTGTAGCACCTTTTTTCCAGTTGGTTTTTTGCACTTTGAGATATGGTCCTCCTTCCGGATTTGAAATAAAATCCTTGCACTTTTCCGAGGTGGAGCGTTAACAAGCTCCTCCATGAATTTACGCTTTAGCTCCTGTCGGCGCTTCCTTGCTTCCTCCTTTCTTCTGTCTATTTCCTCCTGCAGCCGCTTTTCTTCCAATCTACGTTTACCGCTGGTTGTTTGTTCAAACCAAATGCGCATTGCCTTTGTTAGCAAAGACTGGCGTCTGTGCCAAAGAGCAGTGAACATCTGCTCTGTACTATGAGTCTGCCCTTTTTTGTTCTTCTGAAACGAACAAGGAGATTCCCCACAAGCCATTGACCGCAATGCCCTGCCATTGCGTGCCATCGGACTGCACTTTTGGTTCTTTATTGCACTTAAAGTGCTTCTCAACAGTTTTAAATCCCCTGTAGCATTGTCATTCAACACGTAGTCGTCACAAAGATAACAAAAGACATAAAGTTCATTGACCTCCATAGCCAAAGGATGCCTAGTTTCCTCAAAGTGTTTGAGTGCATGCTCCTCAATGTAGCGGCCACATGCCACATGGGAGCATTTAAGACAGGCCCAAACAGATTCAGTGGTGTTGCAGTCCATGCAATGCCACTTCTGGGGATTCAATATGGAGTGATTTTGGGCGAGTCGCAGACGCCCTACGTGCTTACACCTATCCATGGCTTTAAAAGCTCTCAGAAATACTCTGGTTGTAGTATCCTTGGCCTGCTGTACTGCTTTAACCTGTTGGGAGAAAGAGAGAAAAAAAAAACTTTAGCTGTTAGGAAAAAAATTCTAAGCAGTAAAGCATCAAATTAAAAGGTTCTCCCTGTGATAAGTTCTAAGCCCTTGTAAGTGCCCCAATTCTCAGGCGTTATCTTTTCCAAACACACCTAGTCCATTAAAGTTGAGAACAAAGGACAAATCATTTCCTTTGCAAAGCTTCTCGCCACTAGTTCGGGGGTGGCATATCAAGAGGCTGTTACTGCCATTTCATCAAGTCAGTAAAGGACCACAAGTTTGTGACAAAGGATCATAACTTCAGAAGATAAGTGCATCAATTCTGAATCAAGTTGTTTAACCCCTAAAAGTACAGAACATGGAACTAAAGTACTTCATATTTAAAGAATTAATGTAAGAGAGTTTACTGCTTTTTCCCCCCCAGACTAGGGTTTTTAATCCTATGATACTGAATAATCAAACACCTAGTTATATGCAATGTAAAAGTAGAGAATGAAAATACTTGAAGGCTAGGGCACTTGATTGAAAGAAAATTGTGATAAAAAAAGGATCACTGTTCAAATTAAGTGGAGGATAAAGTTGTCAAATAGGATTGTAGAATTGGAAGTAAAATATTTAAATAGTGGAAGGGAATAGGTTAAAAATCGAACACTTTCTACAGTAAGAACAAAGGAGTGCTCAAAAGATTAGGCAATATAGATGGATTAAGAAAATTAGATTTTGAAACAGGGCAGATAAAATGAGGGGAATTAAAAACGGAGATTAGAAAGGAATAAAAATTATGAGTGAAAATTAGTAATAAAAAATGTGGAAGTGTATTCCTAATGAGACAAAAGTCAAGGTTTCGATTAGTGGTCAAAAGGGCAATGGCAGATGTACAGATGTCAATTGAGCCTCATTTTACAGGTAATAGGTGGGTATTAGAATCATAGGAATAGCAAAGAACAAGAGGCAGCCAGTTGGTATAGTGACTTAATTGGCAATTATTAAATCTATAATTAATTCTACTTTCTTGCAAGCACCTCAGAACCTTGCATCATTATCTATTTCAAATATTTGTCCAGATTTTCCTTAAACAATGGCCTCTGACTCAACCATTTCCTGTGGAAAAGCATTCCATGCTCATATAACACTGAGTACAGAAATTTATTTCTCTCTTCTCTAATCCTCCAGTGGCTATTTCCTATTCACTCCATTAAACCACTCCCAAATTATAAATCTGTTATCGATAGTTCCCTTACATTCCTCAGTAAAAAAAAAAGTACCAATACTTTATGGTGCACCCTCACTCCCTATTCACAACTACAGGGTTTTGATGAGATAACAAGGTGTAGAGCTGGATGAACACAGCACGCCAAGCAGCATCAGAGGAGCAGGAAGGCTGCATCACCTTGCCATATCTCTAAAGCATCATGTCCTTTCTATAACAAAGCACCCAAAACTATGCACAGTAATCTGACAATGGCCTCATCATTGCTTTGCATTAGAGACAGGGGTGGAGCCATTAAGGAAGGTTTTTGTTTAACCAAAAAGGAAGTCATTATTCAAACAGCTGGTACAAAAGATGTTATTCAAACTTAAAGACAGACAAATCACTGCCACAAGATTGTTTATAATCAAACATCCAAATGAAATGCAGAGCCTGTGAATACAATTCCCCAGAATGTTGTGCTGGAGGTTTGGACAGCGGTAAACGTGACATTCTTGAGGAAAAAAAAGAGAAATGTGGTAAGCCAAAAGGTTATACATCAGACTAGAGCTTATGACATAATGAAAATTTCTTAACACTTGAAAAAGGCAAAATTATGTCATGTTTGATGTTCATGATAGAATGTTTCAAAGAAATAACAAACAGAGAAAGGTTGATATGAATTTTCTAAGACTATTGAGAGTTGTGGCAATGTTAATTCATTAAAAGAACGATAGGAGACATGGCTCTTATTTCCAGTAAAGGCATGCTTAAAATGCTTTTGAAGAGTAATGATATGAGCACACCCCTGACTAGCACCAAAATTGCAATTGCACTTCATAAGCCTGAAAGGATGGCTAACATGGGAAATGTTACGCTGAACAATTCAGTAAGGGGATGTACCAAGGTTGATATTTGAAATGAATAGTTGCAGGGAGTTTTGCACCACAAAGAGATAGATGAACATATCAACAGCAAATTTAAAGCCATGTAACAAAAATAGAGCAATAATGTTAGGTGACTTTAACGGCCCCAACACCAACCTGGAAAAAACAGAGCTGAAGGCAGGGAAGGAGAGGAGTATTCAAATTCAAAACAAAGGGGGAGGAAACTGCTGATCTGCAAAATGGATTAGGGTGAGTGGAATGTGTTACACAACGAGTTCATCGTGCTAACAGTGATTGTGACAATGGATCAATGTAGTGATAGAATGTACAAGAAAACATCAAAAGGTAAAAATCTCAGGTGGGAAACAGCTAATTCCAGTGATTTAAGAAGCAATCCAGCACAGATAGGTCAGAAAAGGCAGATTCAGGGTAAAGCACTAAGACAGCAGTGGAGGGCATTCAAGGAAGAGAAATTGTAGGCACAAACTGGACAAACTTTTTTCCTTCAAAGGTGTATATCATCCACAGAAAAGAGACCCTAGATGATAAAATACATAAATGTTAAAATAAAACAGAAGGAGGTGGCGTAAGACAAATGTCAACAGGAAGATTCAGTTAATAAACTGGTAGATTATTGAAAGAACAGGAAGTGGAGAAATTACAAGAAAAGATCAGTAGGCAACATTAACTAAAACAGAACCCTAAATTTTACCAACAAATTTTATAAATACATGAAGCGTATGTGATTAGCTGGGGAAAATAAAACTCAAAATTGCGTTAATATTTCAGGTCAACGGTCTTTTGTCAGAACAATGCTGTTAAAATTTTAACAATCTAAATCATTAATTCTCTCTCTTCACAGATGCTGCCTGGTCTGCTGAGTTTTTCCAGCTTTTATTTCAGATGGTGATGAGCGTTATTGGAAATTATTACAGACAAAGTAAGCTTTCATTTGAAAAGCTAAGAGTTAATTAAAGAGAGTTAGCATAGGTTTGTTAAAGCATAATCGTACTTGGCCAACTTGAATGAATTCTTTGATTAGCTAATACAGCACATGCCTATAAGGACTTTCAGAAGGCATTCCCAAAGTGGCTTATTAGAGGGTCAAAAGTCCACAGAACTGGTAGAAAGTAGCAATAAAAGTACAAAATTAGATCAGCAACCAGAAGCAAAGGGTTACTGTTTGACAAACTGGGAGTTGTCTTCAGTGGGTTTCCTAAGGATCGATTTTAGATCTATTACTTTGTTCAATTTTTATAAGCAATTTCGATTTGGGTGAAGAGAATAGCAATGCAATATCTGAAGATATTAAAGAACTTTTGACGAAGGAGCAGATAGTGATGAGAATAATAACAGGCATTTGGATGGCAAACAGGTTGGTGAAATAGCAGATGAAGTTCAATGTGGGGGAGTGTGAATGTGATGTATTTAGGACAACCAATGCAGAAAGGCTTGTAATATAAATAGCACAATTTTGAAATCTGTAAATGAACAGAGAGCCCTTGGTGTCTAGATAAAGACATTCCTAAGGAAGTTGCAGCAAGTTGATAAGGTGGTTGAAAAGGCAAATGATTTATTTGGGTTTATAAATATAATAGCATAGAGATATCATGTTGGAACTTTACGAGTCAGCGGGATTATGGATGGTTTTCTTCAGGAAAGATGTAAAGACCTCAGAAAAGACAAAAAAGAGCTTTTCAATGATGATGGACTCAAAAGCCACTAGAATAAAGAATTCTACAGATTCACCACTCTCAGAAGAAATCCCTCATCTATCTTAAAGATGCAAACCCTTTCCTGAGATTATGCCCTCTGGTGCTAGACTGTCACACAACAGGAAACAACCTTTCACAATCTTACATGTCAAGTCTGTTACGTATCATGTGTATTTCAAGAACGCGATCTCTCATTCTAAATTCCAATGCGTACAGGCCAATCTACTCAACCTTTTCATAAGACGGCGCTTCCGTACCTACTATCAGCCTAGTGAACTTTCTCTGGATTGCCTCCAATGCCAGAACATCTTGATTTAGATAAAGGGGCTCAAAGCTGTTTACAGTATTCCATCTCTGGTTGGACTAAGGCAGAGAATAGTTTTACCAAGACCTCCCTATTTTTATACTTCATTCCCTTTGAAATAAAGGCCTTCTCTTTTACCAATGAAACTTGAATGCTAGCTTTTTGTGATGCGGGGATGACAACTCCCAAACCCCTGTTCCATAGCCTTCTACAGTCTTTCTCCATTCAAATAATATTCAGCTCCTATATTCTTCTTGCCAAAGTGCATACCCTCACATTTTCCCACATTGTATTCCATCAGTCAAGTTTTTGCCCACTCACTTAAATTGTCTATATTCCCCTGCAGACTTCTGAATCATTCTCACCATTTGCCTTCCCATCTACTTTTGTGTCATCCATACAGTAACTTCCCTCATCCTAGTCATTTATATATTGTAAATAATTATGGCCCAAGAACTGATCCCTGTGGCACATCACTAGCTGCAGGTTGGCATCCTGTGAATGACCCTTTAGCTCAACTCTCTATGTTCTATTAGTTAGCCAATCCTCTATCCAAGTTATTATAATACCTCCAACACCATGGGATCTTCTCTTATTAAGTCGTCTAATGTATAGTACTTGATCAAATACCACCTGAAAATCCAAATATACTACATCCCTGCTTCCCCTTTATCCATCCTCCTTGTTACCTTCTCGAAAGAATTTTACGAAGTTTGTCAGGCAGGATTTTCCATTCATGAAGCCATGGCGAGTCTGCTTGATCACATTCTATATTTCCAAAGTGCGTCAAAGTATTATATCTATACACAAGAGAGTCCTAATTTTGATTCATGGTGTCATCTGGCCATCTGCAATTGCTATCAGCTTCCATCCCTGGGTTACACAGCAACTATTGCTGGAATGTGTACAAGTGGAAAGAAATAAATGTTAAACTAGTCTGTGAAATACTCTTCATTTAAACAGTATGCCATTACCACTGCCTTGGTTCACCAAAGAAAACTGGTCACTTGTCAAATATACTGAAGAACAGCTGACAGTAAGGAACAAGGATCAATGGCTTCACGAGGAAGAGAGAAAATTTGGAAACAAAATTTGAAAACAAAGTTAAGGATTACTGAACACAACCCGCAAGCAAAAAGCCAAGAGACAAAGTCTACCTTCAATACTACAACTGACACCATCATTTTTAAGAATAACTAATGGGTATAAATTGCAAATTCTAACCTTTGGAAGTGCTAACCCTCCTCATATTCCTAAGATAGTAAAAGCTAAGTAAAGAAAAAATTATACTTATGTTCTTAGCTGCACACATTATCAGGTTGAAACTACTGTACTTACTTAGACATCCTTAAATCTTCTCCCAACAACAGAGCCGTCACAGTATGAAGAAATACCATCTCAGCAAGCAACAGTCACAGCACTGTACCTCCACGATACGTTGCTAGGAACTGTCAGGATACCATATTACAGGCAGTCAACCTTACAGCTCTAAAATAATAAAAAAAAGACACGTTTTAGTATGAAGTCCAACAACTAGCAAGTCCCTCAATCCAACACATCAATCAGTGTCTGAAAAACAGTAAGTAGGTATTTCGTTTAGTGAATAAGTCTAGCAACAGAGATATTTTAAGAGAACGAAACCTTCTGAAGTGAAACAGAATATTAATATTTAGACAATGCTATTTCTGTAAGCATCACTAACTGGTATCATCTGCATTCTATTTGTTACTTCCCTTTCTATCCCAAGAGGTATATGCACAGCTGTGGAGGATTGCCTTTTTATCATTTTAATATGCAAGATATCCTAAGATTATCCACCAACATAGCTGTCAAAATTCATTTGGTTGAATTTTGATGTAAAACTCTTATACGAAAATGGAACTGCAAAAAACTGTAAAACATAGAAATGAAAAAATTATATAATTTTCAAACAATATGGTTGTCCGATGTTTTAAATGAACCAAGTGGTCAGCCATTACCACAGCAGGTTTCACCACAAATCAATGATGTGAAGTGATAGATCATAACAGTGACTACAAGCTGGAATTCCAGAACAAGGTTTTCGATTTTACTTTGTGACACTATTTATAATGTCATAATATCATTTATGAGTTAGAGAACAGAAAACCTAAACAGGACACTCAAATTAATGCATGGGTTAACATCCTCATTTATTTGTTCACTCTGCTGTATGATGTACATTGCATCTGTCATTACTCGTCTTCCTTGAATGCACGTTAAATGTACAGTTAACCCTTGCAATAATGTGCAATGAAGGTGAATCTGGGGGACACAGAAAGCAGGTCATGCACTACAGTGAGGGGCACATTAGCATGGCATTCCCTTTCATCCCAGGAAACAGCATGGTGGAAACAGTCGGAAAAGATTTCTAAACATTCTTTTCCTACCGTCCCAATGTGAAGACAGTGGCCAGAGGAAGCTTTTCAAGGCACAATAAAGGGAGAAAGGACACAGCAAGTTAACCTTTGAGTCGGAGGTTTGGGGTTGTGGTGGTGGTGGTGGTGGGGAGGGAGAGAGATGTGAGCCAGAGGAGCAGACCATAGGAATGAGAAGCAGTTTCAAGCGGTGTGGCAGCTGGGTACAGACAGAAAATCACCCTACACAGTTTTTATTTAAAAAAGGTGGATGGAAGGTAAAGTAGTTACTAAAATCAGCACTTAAAATATTTCTTCTCCACCCAATCAAGAGACTGCAGAGGCTTAGGATGGACAGTTGTTCAAATCATGAATTCAGACTTAGGCTTCTGCCATTGATCAATGACAGACAGAGATGAATGGAAGTTCCAATTGGCTGATTTGATCAACATGCACAAAGGACGCACATTGAGAAAGTGTGAGGGGGCCTTAACGAATTAACATGAATCACAGACACGTCATTTGTTGCAGCATTTCTTTTTTTTGAAGCGTTTCAACTGCAATTATAAGCATGCTACAAAAAGAATTAGATTAAAGGTGCTTAAAACAGAGAGAAAAACAACTCCACAAATTGGTGCAGGAATCATTAAATAGAAAGTATCGGGGCATGAAGGTAATGAGTGTTCCAGCTTTTAAAAACCTTGCATTTTGACAGCTGTACTTGCTTTAAAACCTAATACTAACTCTCTGGAATAATTGGTTTCAAAAACTGCACTTCATATTCATCAATGCTCTCAAATTGTAGTAGTACAGTTTGAGTGCTAATGGAATTTAACTTTTCTCAAAAAGAAAAGCAAAACCTAAGAGGAGTGCATTTAATATTTCAAAACCCCTGATTTGGAAGAATAGCATTCTATTTTTCCACAAAGCATATTCCAGTTCAATTACATCTTTACATTGGCACAGGTCTATCACTAAGCATTAAGTTGGCCCATCTCAAAGTACTCTATTCCCGAAGGAAAGAGGAATATGAATTGGTCATACCAATTGTTAATGCCAGTGAAATCTATATACAGACACATCCTGATCTGAACTAAAAATTCCAATAGTGCATTTTCATTTATTCACAGGATATATATATTCATTTTACCCCAAACACTTAACTGTATCCTTGTTCTGTGCACACCAGGCTTGCTAAGTTGTGTTAAACGAGTCCCACACTATATCTACGATGAACTTGCTGAGATTTCTCAACATCTTTAAAAAAAAGATATTTAAGTCGAAATTAGAACTTTTTGGCTAGTGGATTAAGAATTACAAGTGGAGCATGTTTATAAAATTTCCCTCGCACCCACATTTTATTCTCCCCATTTCTCTGAAAAGCAATGGCTCTTCCTGAACAAAGTACAGGTTTAGGCAGAGAGAGTGTGCTGTTTGTGGAAGAAGGCTAACCTGGTACAAATTCTGGTTGCATTTCTTTCCTTTAGAGCTCAAGGTCAGAGGGTTGCATTACCACACACAGCATAGCTCAACTAATACAGGAAATATTTAAATACTGAATCATGTAGACCATCAGGTTCCATGTTTGATCCCTGACCACATGGTGCATTACTCACTTACGCCCCATACCAAAACCACTTCCTCCTTCTCAGGATGCTACAGGCCCAAGGTACTCCTCTAGGAACTTATTTGGTATGTTGTGAGAGTTACAAGCATCATCAGAAAGACAGGGACCAACCTGTCCTGTTGGTCAAGACCAAGCACACACCCAGAATCAACAACTACATAGAGGTAAATTTTCTTTGATTCAAGAACCTTGAAGCAAATGTAAGTACCAGTCATCAGAACTTATCACAGAACCTTGGTCTACATGGTTTTTAGGCACAGAGTTATATATAGCAAGATCAGACAGAACTTCAGCAGGTCCCTAGCCTTGAAAAGAGCAAAATTCCATTTGTGAAGTACTTTTCAGGACTTTACGGCATCCCAAAGTACTTTGCAGCCAATAAAATCTTTTGAAGCATGGTTACTGTAGGGAAGTGCATCAAATTCACTAAGAACTCAAATGAGAGATAAATTGCCAGTTAATCTGTTTTAGTATTGTTGGTCGAGAGATAAATTTTTAGAGCCAAGGTGAAGAACTTTTTAGTTATCTTTTAATAGTGCCACAAGCTAACGAGGGCAGATGGGGCTTTGTGAATAATGTCACATCTACAAGACTGTGTTCTTGATAGTGCAGTGCTCTTGCTGTACTGCACTGAAGTGTCAGCCCAGATTATGTGCTCAAATCCTGGAATGACATTTGACTCCAAGGGCACAAGGGCTACAGCTGAGTAAGGCTGTTACATTGCAGCCTGGACCACTGGTATTTTAAGAGGAGTTCGTACTAGCAGTCTTGTACAGCTGCTTTAAATATTTTATTTTAGATTCCAGAAGGCTAGCATCAATGAGACAATCCCTAATGTTTATTAAACTCAGCTTCCTTATGCTTGCAGCCCGAATAAACCAATGAAGAACTGAGTTACAACAGCTCCAGAGAAACACTGGGGCCACATTTCTGTAGACACTCAAGTTGGATCTTGGATTCCAGATTCCTGGAATCAAAACTTTGCAGCAGCAATATGTAAACAGCATCCACAAATGCAAAGCAGAATTGTACAGCTCCAAAAGAGTAAGTAATACACTCCAGAGCTAGGAGATTTCTATCAATGTTTAGTAGGCCAAATGTTTGGATAAAAGTATTTTCATTTAAAGTAAACTTTATACTGACGCACAAGAATGTTGCCCATTACCTCCTAAATGCCTCCATTCAAGATAAAGAAGCCTTTGCACAGCTAATGTCACTCTCTAACGAGCTGCTGGTAATTAGCATGTCAGTGAAATCAGAAATCTCAATGGAAGAAATTGAGCTAAACCATGACACCTTACATTTATATTGTATCTTTAATGCAAATCTTTTCAAAAGGGACCAAGGCAAAGGAAAGATAAATTGGAGGATAGGAAGAAAGATTGATCAAATAAGGCAAGCATTAAGGAGGAGGCTTAAAAGGAAGAGAAGCAGAGAAATTTATAGGGGGGGAATTCCAATTTGTGCAGCATGTGTGAAGATGTGTCCAAATTTGGTGAACTGTGGAGCAGCAACAAGGACGGACTTAAATACAAGGATAGGAATTTTAAATCTACAGCATTGAATAATCAAGGCCACATGTTAAAATTATCAGCAATTAGATCAGCTAGGAATGACAGGTGAAGATGGGAAACAGGTGGAAATATTTTGCATGAGCTTTAGGAGGAGAAAGCTGGGAGGCTGGCTAAGCAGGTAGTTCAAAGTGTCACAAGTATTTGCTGCACAGAAACAGGTAGGTCCATGCCAGCGCTTAGGCTCCACACAAGATTCCTCCCACCTTGACATGGGGTCATTTGTGTTCGACATGGGGTCATTTGTGTTCAACAAAGGGAAGGTGAGACTTCAGAATAATCAAGTTTGAAGATAACAAAGGCACAAAGGTTTTAGTAGCTGGTGGGCTGTGGTAGAAGCAGAATCAGCTGACTTATTGGAGGTGGAAGTGATTGTTATTTGGTGGTGGAGAGGATATCAACTGTAAACTTAAACTGGGTAAAAAGGAAGCTGAGACTATACTAGAACACCCCATTACATAAATGGTGCTGTGGCAATAGGTTGGCTACCATGTGTAGTTTATTTAAAAAAAAACTTTGAATTACCAGAAAAAGGTAAAACGCTTTTTTTTGAATTGGCAAATGTGTTATGTGGTACGAAACTGCACCTGACAAAAATGACTTCAAGATAATCTCTATGATCAATTAATCCATTGCAGAAAGACTCAAAATGGAGATCAGCCTCAGTCAGCTCTGGTAGATACTATAAAAAGGGGGTCAAAAAAATGATGTTTGCCATTCCAAATTTTTATATAGAGCCTCCTATTGAAAAAATATTGATGTGTAAATCATACACAGGATTGGGCTTAGCGGTGAAATTTTCCATGGCTGGAATCCCATTAGGCATATGAAAAAAATCACCAGTTTGACAAAGTATCATGAGATTGCCAATATCTCCATGACTGTATCTACAGTAGATGCCCTTACTTTCAAGAGATTGGGGTTGGGGTTGGTGTGAGGTCAGAGGTTTTGGCCAGACGGGGTCAATTCTGAGAGCTAGCTTATCCCGTTTGTATTGGTATAAAGTCAGGAGCATCCTAAATGTCAGACAGAATGGACAATTTCTAAGAGCAAGCACATCCTCCCTTTCCATCCTGGGTTCATCTGCCGAGTGTAAAAAAATTCAACTGGTGTGAAACCAGCATTAGTATCCCAGCAGCCTAGTGATTACCATGGTAACAGAGATACTGTATTTGCAACAACAAAAGCTCTTTTCTCTCTTGTGCTTCGAGGGTCATACGTGCATTTTAAGCACCACTCAGGAGGTACCAATGCTGCGTTTGTAGTTTAAACAGGTTAAGTTCAGATCTCATTGTAATCAGCACCTACAGCTGGGGAACCAACCTTCCACCACAGTAAATAGTAGGATCTACTGGACATCAATTCCAGGACCAAAATGGTGCACCAGTTGCAAATTGAGTTTAATGGTTCTTTAAAAAAAAAATCGTCAAGGTTATTCAGCCAGAAGAATGCTCTTAGACTGGGAAAGATTTAGATGAGTCAGTTGCCATAAAGGAACCCAATTCAGGTTCCTGTGGCTAATCACACTGTGTTAACGTGCTGGGTGAAGGTCAAGTATGATTATGAAGGCTCCTATATTCAGATACTATCCTTTGACTTCTCCAGAGGCTTGGTGAGAACACACAGGTAGCAGGCTACTAGGCCATAAAGACCTGCATTTCATCTCTTTTATTATGAATTGGGATTGATTTATAGTGCTAATCCCATCTGTTCTGCAGTGCTAAAAATGACCTCAACATACCTGAACCAGGGAAGGCAATAAAATTTAACCAAAATCATAGAACCATAGAAGCCAACAGTGTGGAAAGAGGCAGTTTTCACCGACCCTCCACACAGCATCCCACACAGACACAGACCTCCAACTTGTCCCCATAACCCCACATTTACAATTGCTAACCCACATAGATTGCACATCCCTGGACACCATGGGGCAATTTAAAATGGCCAATCCACCTAAACTGCAAATTTTTGGATTGGAGGCAGATCACCCGGCAGAAACCCATGCATGCACGGGGAGAACGTGCAAAGTCCACACAGTCACCCAAGGCTGCAATCAAACCCAGTCCCCGGCATTGTGAGGAAACAGTTCTAACCACTAATCATCTAAGGTTCCCATTTTTTACTGTTGTCTAGTAACCTATCATGGTAACCGTGTTTGGAATCTGAGGCGAGTTCAGATCAGACTGTTACAATATCTTATACAATCAAACAGCTAATCATTCCACAGCTCAGACTGTTATTTCAATCAAACAATCTGCTCTGACATGTTGTAACACAATTCAGAGGTAGGTTCAACCTTTTGGCTCAGAGGTCAGGAGGTAGGGCACTATCATTGCCCACAACAGCTCTCAATGTGCCTCAAATATAATGACAACTTAAAATTCTTAATTCTTTGGGTGCTGGCTGCCTTAAGTGCATCATGGACAAGAAGAGTATATATGTTTGTCCATGTGCATGAAAGAGACAGAGAGAGAGGGAGGTTTTTTCTGTAGAGTCCTACTGGAGCTGTGTGATATGCCAAAATTATCTTCATGACCTCCTGAGTTGATTAGGCCAATTTAAATTCAGCTACCATAATCCTCCAAATAAAAGCATATTGGTACAGGAGTATAGGGCTTTACTGGGGCTTTCCAAAGGAGAGTCAGGATCACCATGAGTTTGTACATTGATTCCACCAATGAAAATGTAACTACCATAATCCCCATTAAAAAGAATTTTGTTAGTTTATTTAGCACTGCTTTAGCTACTACTGTGCTGCGTTTGGAATAGTGCCAAGTTCAGGAATGGTTTAAGGTAGCAAAAATCAAACAATTTGGAAATTACTGAAGTGCAACAAACTGGAAAAGGAATGTATGATTTGCCTCTGCCAACTGTGGGCTCTTTTCAATCACAACAGTACCTGATACCCATCTGATCAACAGTGCCAATAGCTCTCATCCAATGTAAAAATCAACACCATAACTTTGGTCCAATGGGCCAACTAGTAATACATAAAATAGGAGTACAGCAAACTTTGTTTTAACCAGCAGCTTATCAATCGGCACTCTTGATAAACCGGC